TACCTCTGTTGTCTAGACCATTTGCCTACCAACAAAAGGGGTAAGGGTATCAATGGAACGGTTTTGGACTGAATCCCGTTTAGTCCAAAATTAATTTGAACAGATTGGACAGACCAAAAAGACATAATGGATTGGACCAATCCAGTCCAAAATATTTATTAGATTGGATTGGACCTGGTCCATCTATAATAAATTTATATTGGGTTTGGTTGGATTAAGCCAATATCTGGTCCATTGATTTAAAATAAGAATATAGGTGTCAATGGACCGGGTTTGGGTTGAAACCAATCTAAATTAAAATGAATTTGAACAAATTGGACGATTTGAACATTGAATTGAACCAGTCCAAAATAGTCCAAATTATTCATTGAATTGGATTGGACTTGATCCATTTGTAATGGACTCATATTGGACTGGATCGGATTGGACCAAATCCAGTCCAATCGACACCCCTAAAAAGGGGAAAAAAGTCCAAATGCTGTGTACACACCATGAATAAGAAACTGCAGCAACACATTCATAGCACTTATATGTGCTACCCATAAGAACACCAACCACAGCTATCTACAAGACACTTACAAGTCCACAACCGTACATTGAGAACATCACCCGTTCTTGTGGATAACAGATCCAAGCTCTATGATTCATGAGAAGATGTTCTTGATGTGCTGCTCTAGTGTCTTATGGGTAAGTGTGAGTAGCATCTTTATGAGAGGCAGATCCAGATGCACATTCATGGGGAGATATGCCATTGTGGCCATGCCTGGCTGTAGTGTCGTGTTCATAGCATGCATACAACTTTAGGCATCATTGCTTCTCTCTAATGCTTAGGGCTGTTCACGGGTCGGGTTGGGTTGGTTTACTGAGGTTTTTCCAACCGACCCGACCTGTTCGGGTTACTTGAATTTGAAACCGAAACCGACCCAGTGTTAAGCAAAACCAACCTGGTCGGTTTGAATCGGGTTGGGTCGGTTTCGGCTCTAAGTTCAACCATGTTTGACAGAAACTCAACTGCAATATGTATGTGGGGACTGTGGCACCACAGTATGTGAGGTAGTGAACGCAGGAAAAGCCTTGTTTTTGATAAACAAGATATACCTCTAGTCCACAGTTTGGACTTTGGAGAGGAGAAGAAGAGCAAAACCCATATATAATAACTACTAACTAGGAAGTAGGAACTAATTACTAACTACTAAGTCAGTTCGGTTTAGGTCGGTTTATGATGTTTTACAACCCGAAACCGATCGGTGCTGGAGATAACCCGGCCAACTCGGGTTGGGTCAGTCCGGGTTGGTCGGTTTGGTTGGGTTGGGCCTTCTTATGAACAACTCTACTAATGCTAGGTTAGCAGCTACTACGACAACAAATTGGGCCACATGGGCCTGTCTAATATCAATCCAAATGGGCAGGAACTGAGCCTAAGCCTGGTTTTAGGCCGACACTTTTTTTTTTAATGGGTTACTTGGAAAGTATTAAAATGCTCAACCTAACAGTTAAATTAAATTACCAGTTCACCACACTGTATTTGGTTGAAGCATGGTTTTTAAAAACGAACCGGTGACCGAACCGGTTAGGAGTCCGGTTATCAGTTCAAGCAGTCTGACCGTTTGACCCGAATGGCCAGCCCGTTTTGACAAAAAAATAAAAAAATTAAAAAAAATTGGAAAACGGTCAAAATCGTTCGAATGATTAACCAGCCGGTTCAGCGGTTTATTGGCCAAAATCAACGGTTTTGAGGAAAAAGACGGTTTTAGGGGAAAACGGAACCGGTCAGGTGACCGGTTCCCGGTTTTTCTGGTCCGACTATCTGGCCCGGTCCGATTTTGAAAACCATAGGTTGAAGAGTTCACATCTGCGCCCCATAGAGCACACCCTACATACCCATCTCAACGTGTATTGGGAACATCTCCCCTATTTGTCATTGAGAAATGTTCCCAATACACGATTGAGATGTGCTGTGAGGCGCAGATGTAAATTCTTTATTAAAATCTTCACATCTGCAAACTGAAATGAAATGATTCCATTGTTGTTATCATTTCTACTTAGTGGTGCAATTCGGGTCGGCCCAAGTTAATATTTTACACTGCCTCGAGTTTGGGCTTTTCGTTCAGGCCCATTGAAGTTTTGACAAACCCTAACCCGTCCAAGTTGCACCCCTATTTTCAGACTCATTTCTAGCAATGGTGATGCATTATATGGAGTCCTTCCGTGTTTTCTGTTTCTTAAGTTCGTTTCTTTTCTCATCTCATTAACACTAGCTGACTTGTTACATCAATTGGGGCCTTTGGAAAACTATGGCTCGTGGCTTAATACACTCACAAATGGATCCAACCTGCCAGACCCACAGCCAGCTTGCTTAAGTACTGTAAATCTTTACAGAGAGGCCTCGTATTGTCCTCTTCCCCGCCTACCACCTGCTCCATCATGGGCTGAAACATCAAACAACAAAGTTCGGATCTGCTACGCGTAAAATGGGTTACATAGCCAATCACGAGTGAATATGCCAGTATTCCATATATATGAACCACACAGGTTCGGATCTATAACAATCTTCCATATGAGTCACATACATATAAAACACTGGCGTGTTCATGTATGAATGGTTTAATGCTTAATAAATCATGATAGTATATTTGTAATTTTTCAAGTGTACATCCGAGGGCTAGAATCTAATAGATTTCATTTGTTCTTGTATAACCTCTCTCAATGTCATAAAAAAAATAAAATAAAACAAAACTTGTCTATCACACACTTATTTTTGTCCATCTGCAAGATAAACATATTGTGACAATGTCACCGTTTGGTTGGTTAAAGAGATAGTTAAATAGTGTAATGATGTGATCCAAATCCTTAGATGTAACTTGCAAATTAACTTGAATTGACAAAGCAAACCACTACATGGAATGAGTGGATAGTGACTAGATCGTCCACATTTTTTCCATCTCGACTAACCCTAGTAAAAGCCAATGTTCTCAACCTGTAGTTGAACCATTCACTCTCACCCCTGCTAGTCTTTTGGGTCAATTTAGTCTCAACGACCCAGTGACCTGTTGGATTAACTGTTGCCATTCGATCCGGGCCATGGGTTAGACAAAAAAAATACCCATTTAACACATTAATTTTTTGTTTAATGCAATGAATGCATAATATTAGAAACATAATATTTTCTACAAAATTTCTGTAATTTTATCTTTTTTTATATATTTTTATTATTTGATTTATGTCATAACAGTTGATCCGTTTAACTTAGATGGTTGAACAATCGACCCATCACCTGGAGGGAAAAGTTTTTTTTTTTTAATTTTTTAATTTTGGGTCATTTTTTAAAACATTGATAGAATCAAGAAATTACCATGACAAGTTTGGAATGCCGACAATTAGGTGATTGGTTCATGAGTTTAACCATGGTGCATGGAATTTGAAAACCACATGGAATCATGCTTTCATCGAAGCATTTGAACATATGTACAGATTTGTCATCATGAAAAGGGAAATAAACTCATCATGAATATATTTTTTTATAGATTTAATTTTCATTGAAATTATTGCAAAAATTAGTCTATTTGTATAACAGAATAATCCCCACCCTTTTCATTTATGTACTTCCCAGTTCCCATAGCAATCCATGAAGGACTCATTTCAAACGTGCTTATTAAAAAGCAAATTAAATCAAATTCTCATGGTTTCTACTTTTTACTTTCTACACACCCCTTAAAAAACCAACCAAGCTAGATAATTAATTGCTTCAACGTTCAAAGCTTGGGGCCTGTCTATATCAGAATTTTGACCCACTGACTGTTTTAACTAATACAAGCTAACTTCTTAAGATTTTTGATCAAAGCTTTAAGAGAGAGAGAGAGATGAATTGTAGGTAGGGTGACCACCATACATGGGCCAATGTCAATGGGCCATCTCCTTACTAGCTAGCTGCTGCTTTCATGTATTTCGATATTTCACGCAAAGTGGGGCACATGCGTGGCTTATCACCACCACCAAAACGTGCACATAACAAACACTAGAAGCCTTAGACAAACACCACTCTAGTCTTTATTGTGGCTTACTCACTAAGCCAGTAAGCCTCAATCTTTCACTACTCACTCGCATGAAGACACTTCACTCTCTCTTCAGACAGCTAAATATTGCTATAGCAAGCTCACCCAATTATATAATTAGGTGCAAGCAGCTTTCTCTTGATTTGTTAATCTTAACCTTATTGAGTGTTTGATATTTATCTCCCACAGTCCCTACTTTGTGACATTGACATCTTAATAGCCTGGAACACACAAGCCCATGTGAAAACCAGTCTTTTTTTTTTTTAGGTAATTAGACCACCCCGATTTTGAAAGCTCCGCCAAACCAAAAATACTTGGTGGGGTTTCACTTCACTGTTTCTGGGCGATCGCCGGCCGGCCGGCCGTGGAATTAAATCAACATATATGAGATGAGCATTTTGGTTGAGTAAGTAAAGGGGATGGGATGAAATGGGTTAATCGGTTAAGGCAAGTAACATGCAAGTGAAGTGGAGTGAGATGGATATTGGATAGGGTGATAGAGCTAGCCGGAGAGAAAATGATGAAGTGGACGGCCATATAATAAATATAAAGGCAAAAGAGAACAGAAAAGAAAACTTCCAAGTGTGTAGATATAGAAAAGAATACAGGTGTTTCCCATCGGTTTATTCTTGTCATCTAATGAAACAGACGAGGAGAGGGGGATTTAGCTTTCTTGTAAACCAAACAAGGGAACCTAATCCACGACTTTTGGTGGTGGAAAACCCAAGAAGCTATCTCTCTCTTGAGTGTCACACATGGATGAAAGAACAAAAAGAAATTAAAAGAAAAGATGCTCCGTCACTGGTTCACTTTTCGTGAATCAAAGGCAGGCCACCATGAACATGAACCACTACTTGCTTACTTACCCAAAGAATTCAGCTATATAGAAAAGTTGAAGCTGGAAGATTAAAATTTGACAAGAAGAAAAAATTTATATGAATATAAATAGAAAAGAATCCAAAGAATCGATAATATATGTTGAATAATTATGAATGGGTAATAAGAAGAACAAGAATAAGAATCCTGTTAATAATTCACATTGATGATCCGGTTTCCAGATCATGGGTCGAGGAACAAAGAGACTAGCTAGCTAGAGAGGGGGCTGTGGGATGCTTTTTCTTCCTTGCTTGCTAGAGCTAGCTAGTAATGGCAATCCACCAAGGCCGAGGCCGAGAATAACAGTGAAGGCTGTTGCTTCGACGAGAAGGGGAATTTGGGTTCCCGGTGATCGACGTCTTCTGTTGGCGCCGGGAGGTTGAGATCCAAATCCAATGACAATACATTCGTCGTCCTTGGCTTCTTGGCTTCTGGAGAGTCAGGACTCGTGGTGATTGTGGTGGCTGTTGTAGGAGCGCTTCTGTGTCGCCTCATGTGGCCTCCCAAAGCCTGGCCGGACGAGAATTCTGAGCCACAGATGGAACACTCATGGACCCTCGACTTGTTTCCATATACAGAAGCTTTGTTGCCAGCTATCTGGAGATGAAGGTGTGGGCTGCTGTTAACGTTGTTGAATTGGGCTTCATCTTCCTCCGGCGAGGACACCATTAACGCCTTCTTTTCTTCTGCAGCCATAGCCTTAGGCTTCTTGTGGCTTGCCCTGTGCCCACCTAGCGCTTGGAACGAAGGGAAGCAGCGGTTACATGTCTTGCACTCATAGACGTAGAAGCCTCCCTTGCCGCTGGTCGTCGTTGCCGCCTCGGCAAATCTTCGGCTACTAATCCTCATCTCCATCCCACCACCTTCCTCAATTCGCTTTGGACTGTCCCGGCTGTGTCCCTGAGCTAGGAGAATTAGACAATTGGCCATGTCCTCTTCTTCCTCGGTGCTCTCTGCGAATTCCGCCGAGGTGGTCGGTGAATGAAAGGCACCATCATCTCCACCACCTGCACCACCATCTCCTCCTCCTCCTCCACTCGAAGAGCTAGTAGCCATAGCAACGGCGGAGAACGGGGACGGTGGTCGCTGGCGCTTGGTACGCTTACCCTTGACAACGTGAGTACTGTGCTGATCATTAGACCCCACGACTTCCTCTGCAACTTCCATGTCCCTCTCCATCCAACACCACCACCACCACTGCTCAACCCCAAAATTTAATCAAAAGCTTACAGAAGAATGAAGCGAGGAGGCTGAGATGAGAAAAGAAGAGCAACCAACCAGTCAGAAGCTAAATAGAGAGAAAGAAATTAACAGAGAGGGAGGGAGGAAAGGGAAGAAAGGTGATGGAGGAAGCGAGGTGGGAGGGTGGGCGTCACTATTTATAGTGAATGTGAGAGTAGTCAAAGCCGCCCCGTGAACAGTAACCGTGAATTATCCCGTCGACCTTTCTTCCTTTGCGTTTCTAACCTTGGAACTTAATACATATATAGACTAAAGAGCCTGAGACTGTATGTGGGCGTCTGTTCTAAAAAACATTTGAGAGAGAGACAGAGAGACTAAAAATAGGTGGAGAAATTACAGAGGTGACTGGTGAGGAGTAACTCCTAACTAAAGCAAAGAGAGAGAGAGAGAGAGAAAGAGAGAGAGAGAGAGATGCAATAATACAACGTTGTAACTGAAAACAGGCAAATTTAGGGAATTCTGGAAACAGTTGTCTAAGGTTTGTTAACGTTTCCTGAGTCCGTTTCACACTCCCTTTCTCACACTTTGCCAAACGAAGTCATGTAATATAAACTATTGAATTGCACGATAAAAGCATGCTCTCTCATTCACTCATCTTCTCTCGCAGTAATATAATTAATATTGAGAGAGAGAGAGAGAGAGTATGCGAGGAAACGAGTGAGATTCGGTTGGCTTTCAAGCAAACCCATTCCTTTTTCTCAACGATTCTCTCAAGAGGATTGGATTGCAAGCCTGGAACCACGGAATTTGCGCTTCTCCCTTTCTTTTTAATTTTTCTTTTTTCTATTTCTATATATATATATATATATATATATATATTATACTTTTCTTGCTCATACAATTCTGTTACATTTTAACTACCCAAGTAGCCTGTCTTTGCTTCTTACAACATACAAACCTAATTGAATTAATTAATCAATTGATTAACTGTTAATTAATTAATTACCCACAAAGCACTTTTTTTTATATATTTGAATTGTGAATGAGAATCCAATCAATCAGTTCATGTGCTGTTGGATGAGGATGACCCAGATCAGACCCACTTCATGATTTTTTTAAGTACAAATCTCATAAAATTCACCCATTTACATATTACCCGGCCACATGTAATTATAACCCAATCCAAGATTCAAGCTAACTAAGGAGCTTAATTAATATCTGGTTCATTGGGTGGTCTGATTGCTGACCCGCTTAACCACTTGTGGCTAGGCGCTCTTCTAACTTTTGGCCTTTTGGTCTTTGAGAGAGAGAGATCTTAAAAGGAAAAAAAAAAACAAAATAATCGTTGATAGTTGATACCCAAAAAATGAGGCAATTTATGAGCCAAACTGGTGTTATGGGTCAAAAAAAAAAACCATTTTTTTTTTATTTGGTTCTCGTGACACGATGGAAAATGCAGACAAAATGAGGGTACTAAGTAGTGGCTGCACTACAGTTTAGTTAGTATGGTTACTCCTTTCTTTGTCTTCTTCTTTATCTAATTATCGTGATATATTGAATTATTTATGTGGAAGTAAAATATATATCCCGAGATATTGAAAGAAAAAATAATGGACAAGTGATTGGAAATAATCTGATCATTTTGATGGGCCCTCACCCTTAAAAAGACAACCAATTGATGGAATACCAGCCATTGGATCCAATGGTAATTTGAGAAAAGTAAACTTGGTAGTGTTTACAACAAAAACAAATCTGGCTATGGACCATTTTGATGGGTCGACAGCCCATCATCCTATGGAGAGAGAGAGAGAGATATTAGGGAGGCAAGTCAAGGGATGAGAGGGTTAAGGAGGGCAGATTCTTGGCGTAACGAATTGTTTTGGTTGGTTGTGTGAAGCACGAAAACGTAATGGGCAACGCCAGCACTAGCAGTAGGTGGTGGGGAAGTAAAGCATCCTTGCTTGTATGGGTTGGTGGACAGAACAAACACAGAATGCCTCCTACTCCCTCCTTACTCTTCCTCTTCTCCTTCTCTCTAAATTACCACAAGCTTTACAACTATAATATCTTATTATTATATTACATTATATTTAGTGTGGATAGATCACTAAATTCACTATCTAGAAGTGATTGAGAACAAATATGAGAGAGAGAAAGAGAGATTCAGTAGCTTATGAGTCACTCATGAGAACATGTTTGTTGCAACCAGCAGCTCAAAAAAATACAAAACAATTCCACCTCATCATCAAAACAGAGTATTTGAGACAACCCATCCAGGGGTCCTCCATTTTTTGGTCAATGGTTTATCTTAAGTAATATAATGCAGCTTAAGCCAATGGTGTGAGAACCATAGATTAATTATTTGACAAATATGTGATGTGGGTCCCCATCCCATGTGGCATGTATCTACAAGGCAAAATGTTCATCACAACTCAATAATCCTAGCCATTGGATAGATCTAATATGGATGCATATATATCATCCCTCCAATCAATAAGGCCCACCCAGTACTGGGGCCGGCCCATGGAAGTAGACTTCCCCTTGGCTAAGGACGAAACCATCTTTCAGAGTTCCAATCATTTAGAAGCTTTCTTTCTTTCTTTCTTTTTCCTTATTATGCCTTCTCTAATAGAAAAATAAAATAAAATAAAAAACCAGTGAGAGAACAAATTGGGTGGCGTGGAGTAGGAGTCAATGCTCCAAAGTCCTTCAGTTTCTTCTTAAAAAAATTAAAAGAAGAAAGAAGAAGAAGAAGGCAGAAGTGTAGAAGCTAATGGGTTATGACCACTAACAGCCAGAGATAGAAATCAAACTATTCCTTCCGTCATGGACTGTGACTGGAATAATAATCCCACAAGCAAAATAATAAAATAAAGTATAACAAACACATAGAACTCTTGTGGGTAGGAGTTGTTTGTTACTGATTCCTTAGCTTTTATTTTATTTTCTATTGAGAGAGAGAGAGAGAGAGAGAGAGAGGAAATGGGTAACAAGTAGTGGTAGTAGTGATGTGTTTGAGTAGCACTTTGGAAGTTGTAAGTAACAAATGCAGATAGAGGAAAGGAAAAAATAAAAGTGGCGTCGAGAGCTCCTTTTGAAGACAATGACTTTATGCCTACTCCCACCCAAAATTAGGTTTGCACCTCCCTTTTAGATCTATGTACTTGTACCTCTCACAATTGCCTCGTGAATTAACTCTTCTATCCACCCTTTCTCTGCTGGCTTTGGTCACTTGCTGCTAGTGACTGTGTATGTGTGTGTGTCTCTACAGAAATGGAACCACGACAGATGGGCTGGGTCTGTTGTTAGGTTTTTCCATTCATTAATATGAAAAAAAGGGTACTTGGCTTCATGTGAGGCCACTTGGGCAATGTCGCGCCCCGTCGCAATTGACACGTTAGCATACACGGCGTTTAGGAACTTGTATCATTCGCTTAGGGGTCATTCGATAACAGCTGAAGTGGCTGAACCGAAAAAACCCTTTTGTTTTGTCTTTTAGTGAATAAGTTTTTTAAGGAGATTGTGGTATACCCTTGAATATTCTATCAATTGATTATGTTATTCATTAAAAAAAAAAAACGAAGTCGTTCAATACAGCAACTTCAGCTGCTACCAAACAGCTCCCCCTTGGTCATTAACTGCACAAGTGGAAGGTGAGGAGTGTCAAAAGAAAGCCTAGAATAGTACTGTTTGGTTCTTCACCTGTCGAATAACTAACACATCAACGGGCTAACTGCACTTCATGAAAGCACGAGGAGACAGGAAGAAAAGGAAAGGCCATCTATTGTCTCAGCAATAAAAGTTGTGTTTTCTGAGAATTAGATCACTGATAGACTGTTTACCTAATGAAATTGGCTGCAAATGTAAGTTAGTTACTTGCTAAAACAATCCGACAAGAATTAGGATCCTAACTCGCTCGTTGTCTACTAATAATAATGTGTGAAGTTTGTACACAAATTAAGCCTTACATCACCTATGTGTTCATACCAAGGTTTTAAATATTAATACAGGTCTGTATTGGTGCTTTTTTTTTATGTTTTATTTATTTTTTTTTAAAATCGATTTAAGTTTCGATTACCCTTTAAACCATAATCTAACCCGATACAACGCCTATAGGGTGTACCAGAAAGGGCCCCATACAATATATATCAGTCAATACAGGCTGATACGTAACGAAAATTTAAACTTTTTGAACCTTGATCCATACCATCAAGCGGCGAGTTTCTAACTTCTAACCCCATTAACTCATCAAGTTACCAAGGTAAGGTAATTAAGCAACTCTCTGGACTGACCAAAGTGCCGTGTACTGACCAGATATGAAATCCATTTAAGTAATATATCTTCAACTCTTCCCTTGCGAGGATTATATCGTCAGAAGCAGAACATAGACGCTAATTCCTATACTTGTGTGACTTCATTCATGTGGTCATGGCTTAACTTTTAAATGTAGCCAACCAACAGTGCTGAGACTAGTCTAAGTAGTGGTGATTAGATGAATCCAACATTTGGGAATTGACCCTTTCGTGTCCCATAGGATTTTCAACTTCTACTTCTACTCCTCTTTCAATGCTTTGGGGCAGCCAATTAATATCACTCCCGTCTACGTATTAACAAGGAGAGAGAGAGAGACGTGAGAACATGGGAACTCATAGTTGGTGGGGGTAAGAATCTAGAGTACGATTATGATCAGATTACAATCTGATTAGTGGTTACTGGGCACAAGTAATTAAGCACTGCAAATCCAAAGCAAGGAATGTGGGCAGCTCATTTTGTTGCTTGCTAATCAAGGAATGTGGACAAAATTATAGAACAGGTTTTTAATTAGTTAGGTTGAATTGTGGTTTAGAGGTTTAGTAATCAATAATCAAACATGTCATTCAGCCATTAGTTTGTCAATTAGGTTATGTTTGGTTTGAAGGAAAAAGTAGGGAAATTTTTAAAAATCTTGTATAGGTTTTCTTACCTTTTCCTTCCTTTCCCTACATTTTTCTTCAAATCAAACATAGCCTTAAGGAGGGACAGATTAGGCAAACTCCATGGTATGCCGGTGGAGTTCATGTAGGTGCCGCCCCAACGTACATCAAACTCATGTATTGGAAACATTTCCTAGTGATTAGTATGGAATCAGATGTTCCCAATGCATGCTGAGATGTGCATGTGGGACACAGCCTTGTGGGTCGCTGATGTGTATCTCATGCCTGTGAGCCTTGCACGCAGCCTACTTGCCTTGCTAGCATAGCACCTAACCTTGTGTGGAGTCTGGATCAATTCCCCACAATGTAAGAATTGGGATTTGCTCCTCATAGATAGCGCATCTCACACTGACCTCGGCTCAGAGCCCCATCACACTGTGGACTCGAAACATCTCTCCATGAATAACAACACAAAGTATTGGAACACGTTGTGAGGTTGGTTTGAAGAGCAGATCCGGATTTTCAGACAATACTCACACTCTATCCACAAGGTCTTGGAGGGTTAGAGCCGCACATCTGGAATCAGTCCCCATCAATGACAACATACAAGCACACAGCATATTCTAGGTGTGTGACTGTAGTGTCTGTGTGGGCCAAAACCACATAAAAAAGCAATGGGATTCCCTGCCTATGAATTTGGAGATATTATCAATGTATGACTGGATGCTATGTAAGCGTAGTTTTTGATTGTAGGAGATCTGGGTCCTATCAAAATACCCACCAAAAAAGAAAGTAATTAAGCCGTTGAGAAGCTCACAGCCTACTTAATCAGCTGTAACCGAACAGCCTCTTACTCTGATGAGTTGATTGACCCAAAAAAAAGCCATGGTTCATGTGCTACAACAGTGATATCCCCCACCAAAGGAACAACGGACGGCAGAACCAATCTGCCTTAGATCAGAAGAATGTTCCCAACCCAGGCTCCCCATGGCAGTCGGCCCACAGTTAGCTTACTAACCACGACCCACTTGCCTACCGGAAAGAAAAGCTAACCGCATCAACCCCAATTTTTTGATTTTTCTAATCATCAACAAACAAACAATGCTTCTTCTACTCCCATAGTCAATGCTGAGAATGTCAAAATCCACTCCACGGTCTCTTGCGTCAGAATCTAGGAAATGATATTCTTCAGAACTCAACTACTTCTCTTACGTTAGAGTTAGAGACATGGCAAATTGCATCTTTGGTGAGGTGTGTTTGTTGGTCCGACTAATGCCTAATGGTCATATCATATATCCACCCACCTGCGGCCTGCGTCTGGCCCAGTACATCATCATCATCATCATCATCCAGGCTATCCAATTGGTCACCCACGCCTCATCTGGGCATGGCGTAAAGTCGATCGAATCTTTGTTTTCTACTCGAGAAACTAAGTACTACAGTTAACAAGTACACCAATTGGAAGAGAAAGCTAACTTCACTCAACCTGTTTAGTGTTTTCCTTTACGGTCACGTTGCGAGCTCTTTTCCAGCTTTTGGCTGCTTTGCTTAAGCTACGTTATGAGCCTTGCTCGCTCCTTCATACATGAATCTGGCCCATTCCATTTTATATAGGCCGCTATGTATTTCCATTTTCCAAAGCCTCTGCCCACAGTGGCGCCGTGATATCCACCAGGCTGTGATCCATCCGTCCACGGCTGAGTTACCCTAGCAATGACACCACAAATGTTGTCTGTGGCGCCGGTCTATGTACCGCACTTGCAGGCACACCGAAGACAGGCCAGCCTATTCTTTTGGGTAGACAAATCTCTTGAAAAATGAGTTTGGATTTCGTAAAAAAATAAACTGAGTGGAGACATAACGCTTTAAAGACAGTATCATATATTTTAAAGTTTTCCTTCAAAATTTTCCGCAAAAGTTCAGGTACCAGGGGTTGAGGACAATCAGATCACAAGCAATTCAAACCCGTACTATCTCCTAGTAGAAGGAAGAATCACAAACCGGGAGCTCGTAAATCTGCTACACCACTAGAGTAAAATACTAAAATTAGATAGTTCAATGAACTAGCCATTGGAGAGGGGGTCTGCTTGTTATTTGGGTGTCGTATGTCTGAGCAGGCTATTCCTGTGCAAATCATCTTCTCAGCATACCTCTTCCTTCCACTCTAGGACTGTTGCTCCTAGTGGAAGCAATAATGGCAACATTTTCTTTAATATCTTAATCCTAGTCAGTAGTCACGCACTCACGCCTAATCGATCACCTCGACTGACTGTCTAAAGCTTCGCCATCCATTCGCATGCCATGCCACCATCATCCGAATTCCCAAGACTTGCCGGTTAACCCCCCCAGAACAAGTTGCATTGACCAAAATACCATGTAATTCAGTTGATAGGAAAATTGTCAGCTACACTACTCCTAATGATAACTATTTGGACAGGGGGAAAGTAGTGAGAAAGAGAGAGGAAGAATGACGAAGACCCAACAACATCATTTATACATTTCTCACAGAGTCGATTCAAAAACACCACCCAAGCTCAATAGTATCGCCGGATAGATCTTATCTTTATCCGTATTGAACTTCGATTGGTGGCAACAGCCATGAAAGCAGTAGTGGAAGCGGCAGGTGTCAAAAGTAGGTAAGAGGAAGGCCTGCGTGGAGGTTGGCCGGCCAAGGTGCCCAAGTAGCAGCACCACAATCCATTGGTGCCTGACTCGTGAATGACATGGAAGTAGAGTTTCTTGCTATTGAAAAAAAAAAAAGAAGACTGACCCAATTTTTTCACTTTAACAGAGGGCTCAACCCAGGTCCGCATCGTGGATTTACTCCTCACAGCACAGCGTAGCCGCATAGGAAACATCTTCCCACGGCTAAATGTATTGTGAAGTTGGTGTGAGGAGCGCTCCCTGATGCTCCAGTTTGGGAGAAGTACAAATGCAATCATGTAGAGTGCAAAACATTATATTTTGTTATTTTGTATGTATTTATACTGTATATATTTGTGTTTATACTCTTTCCGGATTCTCAAAATCTCAAGTATGCACCCCTGACCCCTAAAACCAAACAGCCGAAAAAGATGAGTACAGGTAATTTTCCCAAATTTCCCTCCCCCTTCTGCCAAACCAAACTTCACCAAAATGGCAATTGTTCTTCATAATGTAGATGGTTTCTTTCATAGGACTGAAGCTCCGGCTTCCAAAGAAATGAGGTTTATTAATCATAGCACACCACTTATCAGTGACGTACCGTTAAGGATCTAATCAAGGCAATGAATCCACAATCCAAAAAGTTAAAGGTCATCAACATTCATAAGGTACTTATCCACAAATTTATAGGGGAGTAAGAAACTACAAACATGTCCTTCCCAAATCCTAAGACCTTGTGGCTTTCTAAGAACATGTGGGGAAGGAAGTATAAGGCCAGAAGTCACATGTGCACATTAGTCTCGTTATACTGGAGTCAAGCCAACGACACCTGCATATGCACAGATGGAATTAGAAAAGAAGGCAATTTTCAAGTATCAAACAACATGTAGAGTTAAAGACAGAAAAGCCAGATGCACTGAGATGTCGCCAAATGATCATGGTAATCTGAAACCCAGCAAAGGGGAGGGGACCTCTACAAAGTATGCCAGATCATAAATGACAATTCAAACATAAATTTGCCATCACCAACTGCACAATCATCGGCACCCCATAGAGGCTATAATAATAGTGCTAGTTATTAGACAGGTTCAAACAAACATTTGTTACCCAGCAATTGCACAATGATGGGCACCCCATCGAGGCTATAATAATAGTGCTAGTTATTAAAGAATCTTACACTAAACGTACTATTCATCATTTATCATCTGAAATTAACTTCCTATTCCACCCTCAACCAATCCACCCCACACACAAGAATATTGGGAAAGAAAAAGAAAATGAACCAAAATATGAAAGAGGACAAAGAAAGTGACTCAAAAGTGCAACACTCCAGAGTAGAGGTAAACTGGATGGAAACAACAAACAAGTAACCCAATGCACAATTCCGAAAACAGTAATCTTACACTATACGTGTTTGACCATTCATCATTTATCATCACCGATTAACTTTCTATTCCACCCTCAACTGATCCACCCCACGCACAAGAATAGGAAAGAAAAGAAAAAAGAACCGAAATATGAAAGAGGACAAAGAAAAGTGGGTAACTCTTCCAAGTGCAAGTAAACTGGATAGTAACAAGCAAAGTGACCCAGTGTAGAATTCTGAAAACAGTGCAAACCAATTTAGAAGATTTATGTTTCAATTTGATCATTGTACTCAGTCTCCATCTGTATACACTGAAAGTATTAAGCAATTCGACTTTTATATCTTAAGATTTATCCCACTACCTATCCAACAAGTCATGTGAATTGAATGCACTTTGAGGCACATCAATATGTGAAGGAAATTACCTATTTGGTCCCACTTTTAAGTTGTTTAAATTATTTTTTGTTTTATATCCCTTAAATTTTTTCACATAGTGACTTTGACAAGAAAAGATGTTTGGTCCTTTTACAAGAACATAAATTAGTATATAAGGGTAACCATGTATTCTCAAGGGTTTTCTGTTTGACTATTGTTTCAGTATGTGCACCATCCATCAAATCACCTAAACCTTACCTTATTTCAATCCTGAAATACAGTGAGTGAACAAACTTTAAACCGGAAGGTCCTATATCAAGATATCATTCCCTAACTTTTACAAAAGCACCCAATGGACAATCTTATTTTTCTTGTACAGCTAAAGCACTCTGAAGAACCAAATATGAACGAACAAATAGAACGTAACTAGTATAACTCCAAGTGATAAAAGAGCAAAATATAAAGTATCCCTCCACCATTTGTTGGAGTATTCATAAAGAAAGTAATAGGGGAATTATAGAAGGTAATTTGAAGTCTATTCCCATTTGTCTGATGATGCTGATAATCTTCTTATGAACTGACTGGCTCTTGAAGACTTTAGGGGCTTCTCTAGGAGGGAATTTGTTTCCAATTGGCATGTTACCTTTGTAGTACACTGTAAAGAATCAATTATTTTGGCTTTGTGTAAATCTTTACATATATAAATAATTTTTTTGTACTGATTAAAAAAGAAGTGACCAGAACAACTAAGAACCTAACTTTGATATCTTAAGTAATGAAAGAGAAAATAATTTCCATGACAAACCCATGTATTATCTGTATTTCAGCATTTTAGCTCTGAAATTTCACATCCAAATTACATGACCTTGGCTCATGAGATAGAATAACTAAATAGCCTTTCTAACATTCCTTTTATTGTTAATAAAATCGAAACAATTAATCAAGATAAGAGAATCACAGTTACAAAAGACCTTCCATCTTTGGGTATAAGAGGAAGGACCATGTCAAAAGAAAATAAAGCCAAAGCCTGATCAAGTACCCCAGAAAAAGTTCTCTGGTGCATAGTCAGTAAAGCCCAAACCACCAATAAGAGGTATCTCTTTCAACCCTTTTCCTTAGAAAAGGCATTTGCTAATGCATCGATAGATCTCAATGTGGTGCCCAAGGGCCATCAACAAGCGATCTCATCCAGCATATGACCACTGTGAGTTCTTTTCCACCTCGACTCCTACATTCAGGGAATAGCCAGTTCTCAGACCTTGTAACAAACATAAAATCTCTGCCTCTGCTGCACTTGCCTCTCCATAGGGCAGGAGTAAGCAATCACCTTTCCCAAATGATTCCTGAAAGCTCAACAAATGTCCAACGGTCCAGGGCTCCTTAGAGAGCAGCCATATAAAATGAGCTTTATCTGTCCATGCTTTGGAGGAGTCCACTCCCTATGAACAGGATGCCTTCCCTGAACAAAAGTTACCATTTCATGCCACCACCTAAGAATAGAATCACAAGGGGCCCCTCATGAACTCCTCTATTGTGGAGATCCAATTAACCACTCTCGATGTGAACTACATCTATAATGCAATTTGGCTCCAAGTGTTTACCTTCAAAGGTACATGCATTTATTTCCTCCCATAAACTCCATAAGACTGCTGCTTTTGTATGTTTCCACATTATTTTTCCTTTGTGAATAATGGGATAAAAGAATAACCCAATGTTAAAGTTTAAGTAATCAATACCGTGGTTATCCAAAATTTGCAGTTTACAATATTGCATGTAAATTGCATGGGAGTTAATGAGTTATATAAGGGCTAGGTTTGGCTCAAGCTACCTGAGAGGTCTCAATTCCAAACCCTGTACCATGTAAAGTCATGGTTTGGGTCTGAATGAGTTTATGTTGGGCCCACCAAAGTTGCATCCCCTACTTAAAAGGCAAAGCCTTAAAAATAGACCACCTTAACTCCAACACCTTCAATCCACCAAATACAACCTTCTTCTACTGGACTGTCCTTTCCTGTTAAAGAGGTGTGGTGTCAACCTACCTCCAAAGGTTGGGAGTTTCTGTTGGGAAGCCTTTCTGGAAAGAGTTAATACAGGTGATTTACTTCAAAGAAAAAGACCTAATAGCTATTTGTCTCCTCATTGGTGTGTCCTCTATAAATCTGATGGTGAGTTTGGATACCATTTACTAATTTCCTGTCAGTTGGCTAAAGTCATTTGGGAATGGTTTATTTCTCTGTTTGGGTGCAGGTGGACTCCCCCTTTGAATGTGCAAAGCTTATTCACTTCCATGCATAACTGGTCAACAAAAAGGGCTAAGACTATGTGGTGATGTGTTAGGGCTGTAGTTTGTTGGACTGTTTGGGAGGAGAGAAATTCACGGATTTTTTCAGATAAGGAGAGAAGCTTCGAAGTAATTTTGGAGGTTACTCATATTAGGGTGACACATTGGTTGAAAACTTTGGACTTGTTCGCAGATTTCTCAATTGATGAGTTGCTAAGGAATTGGAAGGAGATTGCAAAATCAGCTTCAGCTAAAAAGACTTCAAGTTCCTGCTCGCCCTCCACCTCATGGTTTTACTAAACTGAAATTCGATGGCAGAAGTATGGGCAGTCCAGGGCCCTCCGGAATAGGGGGAGTGATAAGAGATGAAAAAGGGAATCTATTAGCTATGTATTCTGGTCCAATTGGGGTGGGAGATTCTTTGAGGGCTGAGATACTAGCAGCCCTTGAAGGGGTACAAAGGGTCAAGGACATGAATATTAATAAATTGATCACAGAAGGAGATTCTGAAATTGTGGTGAACTAGCTAAAAGAGGACAACTCTAGGCTCTGGAATTACAGCAATGAAAAGAGGAAATTTAAGTGGCTGACTAAGGACATTGAAATTCAATGTACATGGGTAAAGAGAAGAGCAAATTCATTGGCAGATGTCTAGCTAGGCAAGGGGTGAACAGAAACTCTATGTTTTGGGCTGTTCTGTAATTGCATTACATTTTGAGTGTACATTGGTTGTATTCAGGTTAGCTCCTTTGCTTTGTAATTTTCAATACTTTAATAAAATTCACTGTTTTTGATAAAAAAAAAAAAAACATCTTCAATCTAGGAAGTAACAATCTAAACCTCCATTCCACTCCATAAGAATTATCCTTCTAGCTTATCAACTTCACTGCCACTAAACAAGAAGGATAGAGAAGAGGAATGAATATTTGATGCAACCATGGTACAAAATTTCGTCACGTATCAGGGTGTATCAAGTGTATCAGGGGGCTGACCTTGCTAAGACCAGCCCCCTGTAAATTTTTGAAAAAAAAAAACTCAAAAAAATAGGAAGTGTGTGGGTCAAACCCTCGATATACATCTTTGCGCATGTCAGGGTGTATCAATATTTGAACCATGAATGCAGCAAGGCCTGCATACCTCAAGGTTCTGCCTGCAAACTTGACTTCATGGGCTCTCTATATTGAGCCCATATGTAGGCATATAGGGCCATTTTGGAGAGAGAGCACGGACATCAAGATGTTTTTTTTTTCAAAATTTCAAATTTTTTAATACAAGTTTCTTTCTAAATTTAACTTGCACATCAAACAAAAAGAAATAACATGCCCATTAAGAGAGGCCCATTAGCTAACAGGAAAATAGAAAAAATATTACAAGAGAAGATACTAGGACCCATTCGGCCCGGTCTCTTTACACTCCCCCTCAAGCTGAGCATAGATGTCAATCATGCCCAGCTTGCTTATATAGTGTGCCATTTTCCCTCTCGGAACTCCCTTGGTCAAGATATCAGCCAATTATTCGTCTGATGTGATGAATGGAAAGCAAACTTCTCCGGAGGAAACTCTTTCTCTTATAAAATGTTTATCAACCTCAATGTGCTTATTCTGTCATGTTAAACAGGATTATGTGCAATATTGATAGCTGCTTGGTTGTCACAGTAGAGCATCATTGGCTTCTCATAGTCAACCCCCAATTCTTCTAAAAGGGATCGTAGTCATAGTAATTCTGACACACCATGTGCCATTGCCTTGTATTCTGCTTCAGCTGAGGATCTAACAACTACAGACTGTTTCTTACTCCTCCATGGCAC